TGCTTTTACAGAGTATATACATAAGCATCAGTTACAGTTTAGGCTTAACCTCGAACAGGTGTTGGGGTGTTCCACGTGGCGCAGGATTGACGGTAAATGTACCAGAGGCGTCGGAGACGGCCGGGTCACGACAAGGATAGGCACTGGCTCCGATGGTGTAAAAGGAGGAGCTTTTTCGGGTTAGTAACGCCGGAAACTCGGGTTGCAGCTAGATAGTTTAGGGAGTGTTTGCAACCCATAGTGTCTTGTTGATTTATCAAATAGAACCATCTTTGCAAACCTAACAAGTAGTAATATTTGTCTAGTTCTATTATAAAAGTAAAGAAAACAAACACTGTAAATCATCATCTTTAATCATTTATAAAGACCCATAACTAAATTAACATCAAAAGAGGGAATCTCAATGTATTGATTTAGACCTCCTAAAGAGGATAAAATCATACTCTAGCCCAAATATACTCATGAGCCCTGATATATATTTCTTAGCCTCACCTGGCAAGCACTCAAGATTTAGAAAAAGTAAATGAGGTACCAGAGTATGTGGACTCGTAAAAAGATAGAAAGATAGAAAGAAGCATAGGTTACGATCGATTGCAGATTTGCAGTTGTATATGGAACTACCTATTTTAATTCAATTATTATCAATTAATCATCACAAGAAAGGAAAATAATACCTTACCTAACGGGAGAAAGCTGGATAAGAAGGGTAAGAGGACGGGTGAGTGTTGAGGAATGCTACCGTGAGCAGCCTCGGTGTCTCTCTGAGTCAAACCAAGTGTGTTCTAACGAGAGACGGGGAAGTGGATTGAGTGTGTAGTTGAACAGTTGTAGTGACGGCATGATAATAGACGTTAATAGACGGATAAATAAAACAGACTAATAGTACAATGACTTAAGTGTATGGTACATGTTGATAAAGCTGAGAGTTTACACCAACACATTTTTAATACCTAAAATATCCTTACCCTCATTCATGTTTATAAGTTTTTAAGAATAGAATTTATGCAGTTTTATTCTAAGCTATCACTCCACATTAATAGAATATCAAATACACATAAAAAAGTTGCAACAATTTTCTCTCTCATATGTAGTGCGTTTTGGTCTAACATAAGTAGGCTAATAAACGAGCAGAAACATTTTCTCTCTCATATGTAGTGTTTTTAGTACGAAATATAAGATAAGCGGACTAATACTTGAGCGGGAGGATTATCTTTCTCTCATATGTAGTGCTTTTTAGTATAAGATAAGCGGATCGATGAATAATTGAGCGAAAAAGTTTTGTCTCTCATATGCAGTGTTTTTAGGTATAAGATAAACAAACTAATAATTAATCATGAAAAATTTCTCTCATTTGTTGTGTTTTTAGATATAATATAAACGAATAATAATTGAACAGGGAAAATTTCTCTCTCATATGTAGTGTTTTTTGGTATAATAAAGAAGATAGATCAACGAACTAATGATTGAGCAGGGACACTTCCTCTGACATATGTAGTGCTTTTAATTATATAAGAAGATAAATGAACTAATAATTAAGCAAGCGAATTTTGATTCTCATATGTAGCAATTTTAGATATAACATAAGTGTACTAAGGGAGAATTTTATCTCTCATATGTAGTAGTGCTTTTATGCACAAGGTAAGCAGACTAATAGTTTGAGCTTAAAATATCATTTCCCTAATTATCGCCTCCATGTAGGTTGGTTAAAAGTGTCTCAACTGTAACAATGCTATTACAGTTCTATACCGACATTAAGACTTAGCGTCGTAAAAAGGTCTAGCGGCATAGGCTAAGCCAACGCTTTTACCAGCGCCGGTAAAAGTACTAGCGACGCTTTTTAGCATTGCCTTAGGTAAGTACAAAGCGCCTTGAAAACCCTTTTCTCTACTAGTGTTTTGGAGAGTAACAAAAGTTCTCCAAAATTATCCCCTGCAATTTTTAAACTCCCAAACATGAAGAGGGTCATAAACACACATCAACCTTCTATCCCCTCCAAAACCCAACTCCTAAACATACCCTCAGTGACAATGCAATTTTTACTAAAATTTCAATTTTGGGTCTCATTCACGAGCATTTGCAAACCAATACGCTTGTAATATGTATCCAGCCAAATGAAGATATGGGCTTTAGCAGACCTAGGACAAGTGCGCATGCGAAGTTGTGAGTGGACATCCACGGTTCAACCGGTGGTGGTTAAAAATATGAAAGGCTAAGGGACATGTTCGAAGAATTATCAGATAGGATAGATGAGCGACTTCAGGCTATAGAGTCATTAACGACATTGAGTTTGATGGCACTCATGAGAGGTGAGGTGTACATTTGATGAAGAAAATGACAATAGAAAGTTTGGATTCCATATGTCTCCACGCAGAATCAAGTTGCACGTTTCATGTATTCACATCATCTTCATTTGAGCGTGATACAAAACTAGTTTAATGATATGGAAATGCTAAAATGTTTGTGAACAACATTGATAAAAATAATTATTTGTGAAAATTGCAATTCAGCCCAAGTCTGTGACCATTTTTAGCAATTAATCACTTTCTTATTTAAAGCAGAGCAATAGGGATTCACAAACCCACAATCCCTTTCTTGTGTGTTTGGATGAGATCTCCAATAATGTAGCTAGAGCAACAATCCACTCTTTGAACTTGATAGAGAACATCTTAGCTAGCCAAAAAGAATTCTGCATCTGATAAACTTGGCAGTGTCCCCATTCAGAGCTGGTGATGATAAAGAAACCAGCACATCAAACACATATTGAGTTCATCCTTTGAAGTCAAACTATTTCCCTTATGATGAGTAACATTCCAAGTTCCAACCCCAATATTAAAAAGTTGTTTCTCTCAATGACAAGTTGCATCATGAATTATTAGATATATCTAAATATATGCAGTCTGTAATGTGCATGCCTTCTGGTCAATAAGTTCAAATGCCAAGCAAGGCTGACCCTGTCTATCTCAAGGCCTAGAGGTAATAGTCTATCATAAGTCTATTTTATATATAAAAAATCCTTAAATGGAGATGCAGAACAAAAACAACATCTTCTTCTCTTTTATTTTTTTCTCTTTCACCTATCCAAATTCCATCATTTTAAATAAATGTTCAAATTTAATAAAGTTTCTAAATTTAACAAAACCAAAAACAACAAGTTTGAATAACACTAATTTTAACACAACTGAATGCAACAATTCAAAAATTATGTAACATAGTTTGGTACAAATGATTAATGGACGAGATCATGTACACATTCTTAATAATTGTAGAGCGGTCATGTGTTTTAATAAAACTTAGATCTCGTTCTCGACCTTGGATGAGATCGTGTACGTGATACTCTTAAAAATTTGGTAACATCATCAGGCACGATGCAGACTGATTCTACATATATAAACCGGTAATATGGAAACTTACATGTCGAGAATGGATCAACGATAGTTGAACATGGTGGAAGAACTGGCAGATCTTAAAAGTTATGTCATAGATTTGGTTGGCCTTCCGACCGCTTTCACGACCTTATCAAAATAGTTGCCTCCCTCGCGACTTCAATACAACATTTTCTCCATGATGACGCAGATGAATCTGTAATGTCCAATTAGTGCAACAACTTGCAACAGATCACAAATGATTCAATGGTTCTTCACTTCTCCAAACTAGAATTTCCCCATTAAGATGACAAAACAAACATGTTCTCTAAACGATATGAAAGATTTAGCCTATAGAAAGTTGCACTACATGGCAGGGTTGACTTAGCAACTTATCACATGAGTGACACGACACAGATCTAGGCAGATCAATTCAATCTTACAGTCTCACAGCTGACATGAAGTGAGTTCTTTAGTAAGTGTTCCAAGCGTTTTGACCCACCAAGCAGTGCTAATCCAGAGGGTATATGACCAATCTTAAACAAACAACTTACTTGAAGTCATACATTGAGGCGTCCCCACAATTATTTGCTCGTACAACACATATATCAGTCCACATGCAAGTTAGAATCTTCATTTCTCGTCTCCAAGAAGTAATGGCCATGTAATTATGGAAGTATAAGTGCGCTGAATCTAAAATTCATACTTGTCAACTGATTACTATTAGATACCACATATCTAACAAGATCTCTTAGGAAGTTGGCCGGTGATGAAATGCATTGCTGCAGGGTGGCACTTTGTAGTCATGATTAATAGCTCTCGAACGGTAGAAAGTTGTATGTCATTTTATTACTTAAAAGGGACAAAAAAGAGCTCTACATAATAATACCATTACAAAGACTGACAAATTCAAAATAGCAAACCACTTCAAAAGTTTAAATGAGGGGGTGTTTGGATCTGATTCTTAAACCTGTTTCTGCTCCTTCAGGGAGCAGAAGCAGAAGCTGGAGTGTTTGGGTGAAAGTGCAAATGTGATTCTGGTACTCAAATTTACTCCTAGAAAACTGATTCTGATTTTGCTTCTGCTTTAAAAAAGAAGCAAAATCAGAATCAGTTCCAAACACCCTTAACATAGCAAATCTTAGGTCACTATTGCCGTAAATCTCGAGTACTCAGAGGGATAAGTTCTCGAAACAGTTTCACATCATAAATCCGTGCATCAAAAGGGCGGAAAGTAACAAGTAAATATCCATCACCATTGGTTTTGCGAGCAATGATTGATTGATTTCCACTTTCCAGGGCCGACCCCTAGGGCGGATGCACCAAGCCCATTCTCATGGGGCCCATAATATTCGAAGGCCTAATATTTTTTAGAGATATTATCCGAAATAGGACTAAAAAAGTTTGAAAATTCCAAAATAGGACTGTCATGTTTTTATTCCCAAAATAGGACTAATTACTGCCATGTTTTGACGGTACCAGACTTCAAACATGGCAGTATTTTCCAAACATGGCAGTAATTACTCCTATTTTGGGAAGAAAAAACATGACAGTCCTATTTTGGAATTTTCAAACTGTTTTAGTCCTATTTCGGGAACTTTCCCTATTTTTTAATACTTGTATTACATGGATGTCAGCCCAAGCTTAAAGAAAATGCAGAGAAGTTAGAATGGAAGGGAAGTGCTAAGGGAAACTTCAAGCGACAAACCGGACGACTGGACCGAGCTAGTTAACGACGCCTTTTTCGCTGCCATCCCGCCACCGTGCCCCGCCTGGACGCCTCTCCAAGACCAGGACTCCACGACTGAAGTGCCTCACGCAGACTACGCAGTCACGCGGCTCACGGGAGTCACCGGCTCGCCGCCTCACCGCCTATCCGCCACCCACCGATCACGGTCTCACGGACCTCAGCCCCTTACTGCCTTGGACCTCGGTAATCAGTAAGATTTTCTGTATTTTCTCTTTTTAATTGCAAATTAGGTTCTTGTTACCTGTTTATTTATTGAAAAAATGAAGCAATTCAATTGTAATGTACAGAAATTGTTTTAAATAGGAGTAAAAATTGTTCGAAATGCAAAAATAGGAGTAATCTGACGAGTTTGAAAAAAAATGTCATGTTTAAAGCTAATGCCAAACTTGGCGGAAATTTACTCCTAGAAATTGACTTCAGTCTTTGCAATTTTGATGTCCAAGCCTCTGGGATTTCTTATACGTACGGAGCAGTTTTGTAAGGTATTTTGTTTTTGTTCTTTAATTTGTTTCAGTTCTTTTCTCTTCCATACTTCTTTAATAAATTTGGCCAATAATTTTTTGGGAGCAGTAAAACCTCCATCTGCAAATATAATTTTTAAGGATTGGACTTGAGAAATTTATTAGATATGAATGGTCTCCAAGAACTCTACATACTGATTTTTCATTATTTCTCAGATTTTAAAAAAATATAAAATAAAGTAAAGTATAAGGAGCATCTGTATCCCTTCAATACGGTAATACTATTTTTTCAATTTGTATATTGATTAATCTGTTCAATTTTAATGATATAGCTCACTCATTTTTAGTAGACATATTCGAGGAATAACTAAACTATAAAGGAAAAAGATCAATTTAGTTTGATTAAAATTTTAATGATTTCTCAATTGTAATAGAAATATGTTCAAAGAATATACTTTCATGGATTCAAGCTCTTATATCAGATGGAGACTTTGGGTAGATGATAGCAAAATAAGGCCTCTTGTTTAATTTTGAACAGGGCCAGCCCTGATGATTTCCCATACAGAAGAGAACTCTTGTCTAGGTGGTACCTTGGGTAAAAAAAGCAACCACCTGCAATTTGATACTACAAGTTGAATGATGGGTTGATGGGTACTCTCAGCTATAAATAAATTAAAAGCCTGCAACTTAGTTATTGGTTAGCTGAAGAAAAATTGGTGAGCAAGGTTACATTAATAAGATGAAACTCCATCTATAAATAAATATATTTCTCCATGCATTCCATAAAATTCTTCTCGGTTTGATTTGGATCGGAGTTTAAGAAATTGGGAATAAAATAGAAATGTATGATTGTGGTTGTGTAAGAAAAAAGTAATTAAATGTTAGTCACACAAAACTTCCAAAAAGGAAATGTGAAGAATTTTAGGGTACGGAGAAAGTATCTATTAGTTCTTCCGTTCTTCATATTCTACTTGATATCAAAGCCACACCCTTTGGCCAATTGGCCAGATATTGCATTCTATCTGAGTATCTGATGGCATGAACATATTGAGCAATACTTCATGCAATTCATCAGAGCACCAATTCTTAAACAATTCTTCTAGGAGTTGTTTTATTTTAATTGAAGCTTCCAACAAATCCTGTTGCATCTGGCTAATCTTGTTGACTTGAACTACTTCAATAATATGAAATAATATTGGGTGCAGATAAAATGATGATGACATTTTCTATTATACTTTCAATTGCATGCAAAGTTTAGGGAATTGAAATAGATTACATTGTTTGGATACATATGTAATCTATTTTTAAGTTGCAAGCAAAGGTGTTGCACAGCTTTATAAAAGTATGCAAAATATTTTACCACCCCACGTAAAATACTTTTCATGCAGTGAATTTTTTTTAAAAAGTATCCTGCAACAGTTTACATTAAATAATCAAACCAAACAGTGTAAAACTTTAACGTCCTATACTTCGTATGGAAAATAATTATTTTACATCCTACCAAACATGCTCTAATTATTTTTAGTCTAGTGACAATAAATTTTGAGACTGGCTAAATTTGGCATAGTTCTATTTAAAATATGTTATAGATGACATATTTTTGCTAGGAAAATGCTGTTTGTAATACACGCATTTTTGTTTAAAATACATGTGTTTTGTAGTTTGTACACGCCATTGTACACAATGGTTGAATTGTCTGTGTACAGATAATTTCTTTTCGTTTTGTGAAGAGAATTGCTTTTTGAACCGACAAAATTTTTGAACTGACAAATTGTCGATGCAAAAAATAATTCTCTTTACAAAATGGAAAAAATTGTCTATGCATAGATGATTCGCCCGTCGTGTACAAAAAACGTGTACACAAGCATGATTGTTTTTATTTTACATGCAAAGCAATAATCCAAACCACCTCTCCAACTTCCAGAGAGACTTCTCATTCCTTCAAAAGCTCCAACCAAACACAATTTGAAATCTGAATGCATCTTTACTTTTGATAAGCAGAGGAGGGTTACTTTCTTTCGTCCTAATACCATGGCTGCTGCGTTTGCTGCCTTCACCCGAACACAATCGTCATTTAGGTTAAAGCACCTGGTCCGCCGGAGCTACTCTACGAAGGCAAGTAGTGTACTTCCTCCCCCTGATGTCTCTCGTTTGGCCGCAACAGCTCGCATTTCTCTCACCCCAGCTGAGGTATGTCACACTGTACTGTGTACGCTCCATTGCCCATTGGTTGTTTTGTTCAAGGAAAGCTTATAAGCCAATGATTAGATTGTTTCATGGTTTTGGTTTCCTTTTTCATCTTACAGATTGAAGAATTCGCTCCTAAAATTCGACAAGTGATAGACTGGTTTCTCTCTTTCTCCCTCTCTATGTTTGTTTTTATGTCTCAATGAACAATACATGTTTACGGAAGAGATGTAGTGTCTATGAATTATGAGTATACTCTGTGTCTATTTCTATATATTTGTGAACCATTTCCTTTTCTGTGTCATATGACACCAAATTTTATGATACTCCGAATGCACCAATGTATTTACCTTACTGATCATAAGTAGATACAGGAAGCTCGATTTATTAATTCGGCAGATTTGGGTTTAGCTATGGGGATTGAGGAGTAGATTTGGAGAACTGTGATCTGAGAAATATTGTTATCTGAGGTCAATTGAAGGGAAATGACTTGACTGCGATTGTCGAAATTTACTTTTGAATGAAGAAGAGTAACATCAAGCATTCAACTTCTTTGACTTTGTACATTGACATTTTTAAAAATAATCACATTTTAATGATGATTATTTTTTGAATTTTGACAAACATACCTAGACTGATTATTATTATCATAAAATAACAAAGAAAAGTGAAGTTAATATCGGAGGATAACTTGACCATTGTACTATGGGTTACTTTATTGGTTCGATAAATGGGACAGTGATTTGGGATCATGGTGTCTTCAGATAACACACAGTTATTTGACAGACATCATAGTCAGTCTTTTATACTTGCAAAAACATCAATGAAAGTTTAGGCTATTGTTTGGGACAATGATTTGGGAACATGGTGTCTTCAGATTACACGCAGTTATTTGACAGACATCATAGTCACTCTTTCATACTTGCAAAAACATCAATGAAAGTTTAGGCTATTGTTTGGTTTGACAGACATCTCTAGTGCTGCTCTGCTTTACAATTTGGTTTCTTTTGCAGGTTTGGTCAACTCCAAGCCGTTGATCTTGGAATTATTGAGCCATCCATCAGAGCAGGTAATATAAATGGATAAGTATGTTCTTAGATATGTTTTTGTTATAGTTTCATTGTCTCTATCTAGAAGCTATTACTCTGTCATGTTATCAACTTATAACCACATAGTCTGTAAAGAAGTCTCATGCTTTAATATGTTAAGGATTAACTACATCAACCTCTCCTAAGGTTTGTTTCGAATTATCAAGTGATCTTTGAGGATTTCTAGAAGTACAAAGACACCCTTCACGAGTCAAGTATCCTGTAAATGACAATGAAAAATGATACTCCATATAATGTTATGGTATTAGTGGGAACTAAGTATCTTTGACTAAATCACCCTGGTCCCAAATATTTTCTACTAGTATTTTTTTGTTAACATTTGTTCATCATTCATCATCATTACCCTAGTGCCGCAAAGGCTCCCACCTACCGTGAGGTAGGGGGGTCGGATGCATCCAGCCTTACCCGTGTACTAAAGCACAAAAAGACAATTTCCGGATGATCCATGGTGAAAATTGCATGAATTGACTACTAGTTCATAACAAAGAAGTGCAGACAGTTTAGTGAGCCATTTTGCTTTATTTCATCAAATTCCCAAGCCAAAAAATAGTGAATCTTTGGCTCCATTGCAAATGATAAAAATTTGTTAACATTTTTTAAGTAGAAAAAATGCGCACAAGATTATATATGAGCAAAACCACTTAATTCCTGCTAATATCATTATATTTATCACTTTTTTGGAAACATTATTTTTACCTAGATGACTAAGTCCCCCATTTCATCTCCTACCAAAACCTTTCATCTTAACCAACCTAATTGAAGAGTGAAAATTCATGTTTGGACTTTGTTTGTAATCTGTTTAATTGCCAATGTTCCCTTACTTCATCAAGAGGGCCCCGGGTAGTAGCTCTTGAATATATTTTGCTCTGTATGTCTATGTTCATATCATGGCCTAATAATGTTCAAATACATCATATATCCTATATAGATACCGAAGGCGATAGCTTGCGGGATGATGTGCCTGAATGTTTTGAAAACAGGTTTGCTATTAAACTTGTCAATATTATCTAGTTACCGATATATCATAGTTGAGGGATTTGCATGCTTTCTCGTCCTACTTCAAACACATCAAATTTGTTTCTGGACAGGGAAGCCATTATAGCTGCATTTCCAAGCTATGAGGAGCCTTATATCAATGTCCCCAAAGTGCTGAACAAGGAATAATTTTCTCAGAGCATCCCAGCCATATGCTATAGTCCTTATATATTGTATACATTCTCATTTACTTGAAATACAATTTTAGTGATTATGGCTTCATTTGGTTGAAGGAAAAATGTTTGGTTTGAAGCATTTCCCTAGATTCTTTGAATTTGAATGGAATATTTAAAAGAGGAAGTCTTGCTATCGACCCGTTCTATTTTTCTTTTTGTAGGGGCTAATCATTTATACTGTAGAGTAATTTATTTTCCAGGAAATTTCACGAGATAATATTTGTCACAACTTATTCTTCTTCAATAAGAGTATAAGTAGGCATGGACCCGGTCCGGGCCGCCCGGCCCGCTACTGTGCGGGCCCGGAATCGGCCCGGTTCTCGGGTCCGGGTCAGGCCTAGGCCCGGTGGGGGGCGGGTCCGGGCTCGGGCCTTGTATTTGGCGAACCGGCCCGGCCGGGCCGGGCCCGGGCCGAATTAATTTTTTTTTACATTTTTTTTTGTCATTTTTGGGGTTAACCGGGTTGGGCTTGATGGTTAGGAGGGGTTTGGGGGTGGGGGGGGTGAGGGGGGGGTTAGGAAAGCAAAAAAAAAAAAAATTGTTCAAACCGGAGGCCCGGCCCGGCCCAGACCCGGACCGGACCCGGTGGCTACCCGGGTCGGACCCGGGCCTTCCTTCCAAAAAAAGCCCGGCCCGGAACCGGCCCGGCCCGGGTCCGTGACTAAGTATAAGACGGAGATCATCGTTCTAAGTACAGTATAAACTAATAGTCGAATATAGCCTAAACAGAGTAATTGAGCATCCCAATACATCAAATTAAATTGAACGTGACTCAAATATAATGTTGAGATTTGAGTCAACTACTGTTAGTACTCCGTATGTTCCTATAAAGAATTCATCACATATATGATATATACTACGTCCGTCCCGGAAATCACTTTCCGGTTTGACTTACACACATATTAAGGAAGTAAACTTATCACGGGATAAATTTTACTTTTTCGACATTATTTATATTAGCATTGTTTGACACTGTTTAACACTGTTTTGATGTGGATAACTTTCAATTTAAGGAAATCAGAAGTTAAATTAGAAACATCCAAATAAGGAAAGTGGAAAGTTGTTTCAGGGACGGAGGGAGTATAAGTTGCAAACGAAAGCTGATTATTATTATTATTATTATTATTATTATTATTATTATTATTATTATTATTATTTTGTTTTTTTGAAATAACAGATGATTATTTTTAGCGCTGGACAATTCAAGATTTCAAGGACATTAATTTAGTTTTGAGGCATGTTACTGCCATATTTTTCCTTCCTAAATTTCTAGTTTATACTTCCAACGTTTTTTACATAGTGAGGGAGTGGTGAAGAGGTTATTGAAAATTATGTTCGGATATATGTTAGAAAAAATTGAAAATAATAATCCTAATTATTGCTGTTATCAATAATCTCAATTATTGATTATTTTAATATAATTCTATCTATATGGACTGTTCGCTAATAATGATCCATGCATGATCGGGTATATTATCATTCTATTACAGGACAGTTTTAAATAGAAACTAAGCTTATTGTACAAATAATTTGAACCATGCGTATTCTTCTTTTAACAATCCCAACCATCAACTCTAAAAAAAGTAGAATGTAGTTAGATTTCAAATTTTGAATTTTATAAATGAAAGTTTAACTATATCTCAAAACATATTGTGTTTTCGAAATAAAAAATGTTACATTTTTTTTTATTTTCAGAAAAAATAGTTTTAAAGGTTCATAAATAATCATTTTGGGATTCTTTTACAAATTCATGATCTTCTAGAACTTAACATTTTCGTTTATCAGTATTTATTGCTTAAAGCTGTGTCCAATATAGAAGCAATTCAAGGTCATCTGCCAATGGTTGTGTATTAGCTATTCATTGGCTTACTCTTCAGTTTATGAAGATTTGGAAAGAATATAATTACTTTATCTTTCCAGTCCAACTTAATAAATAGATGCTCCTTCTCTAAATAAAATACTCCCATTGCTACAATAGTAGCTTATTTAGATAGCATTATAGTATTTTTGTCCTGTAACAATTTTGTTTTGACAATTATATTTGTGCTATTTTTTTTTGTCATATGCTATGAAAAGTGAAAAGTGGGATAATTGTGTTCATGTGGTAAACGTGGGATAAAAGTATGATATCTATAATGGTGTTGTGAAGTTTTATAATGCTAATGTATCATCTAAGTTTTTGATGCTAACATTTCATTAAATCATATGGCATGTTGGTGTTTTAAAACGTATTGTTAGAAAAGTATCATAATTTATTGTAACTATAATATCACTATTTCTTGACATTATTTCCGTGATATTAAATATCGTGTCACAATAATTTTCGACCTTCCATTACGTTTTTGAAGTGTCACTAAATCTTTGTGTATAATGTTTTCTAGTCAAACTTGGTAAGGAGAAGATATGTGTGCTAGTCAAACTTGATAATTTAAGGAGAAGATAATATATTCCATGAATTGAAATAGATAAATATGGTGCACATAAGTGTAATATAATAACAATGATCTTTTTTGCTTATGTGTATTAATAATCCATATATGATAAATTGTAACTGCACTACATAATCATATATACTATACTTAATTATGCTGAATGAGATGATGATTTAACACTTTCACATCACTCTCTTAATGAAATTGAATCATCGGAATTTCTGTGACGTATAGACAAAATATGATATTGACGAGCTAGGGAAAAGAAGTTGATGATGATGGGATTATCATGGCTCCAATAATATTGGACGATGATAAGGCTAGTAGTTCTTCATCATCCCCACTTGCTCCTTCATCCCAGAACAGATAGCTGCCTGGGCATTGTTGTGCGTCGTCAATGCCCCAGTCGTTCACGCGATTCTCACGTGTCATCTCACGCGCCGCCATCGTGTTATCCATTACCAAAGGCGGGAAGTAACCGGAGTCCATTCCCGCGCTGTCCACCGCTGCCACGTACGGTTCGTGGTTCCACAACGGCAGTGGTAGCGAGTCTTGGTTGCCATTGTCCCCACCGCTAACCCCTTCCAATGACGCATTATTAGTGTCAAATGTGAGAAAAGGATTATGATTAGTATTATTAATACTATTATTAGGGAATGAAAATAAGGGCTCTTGGAATGGGACATGCGGCTTTGATGTGAATTTAACGTTGTTTGTGATGTTAATAAAAGAAGAAAATTGGAGGGGTTGGTGAGGATGTTGTAGGTCCATAGTAGGGGGTGTGTTTGTTTGAGGTTTTGATAATGGGTGATCTTTTAGCTTCTTCTTAATCCAAGAATTCCAATAATTCTTAATCTCGTTGTCTGTCCTCCCTGGCAAATGACTTGCAATGTGTGCCCATCTGCAGATTAATAATTTAATTCGATAATTAAGATGGTTAGGCATTGATAAGCTAAGCAATTCAATGAAGAAAAAAGCTATCATATGTCCCAATGTCCCACAAGAAGATGTAATATGAAATGACTAATTTGCTATTCCATCTTTATCACTCTACACTGTCATTTATAGCCAGAATTTTGGTACTACAATAAGTAAGACTCATGGAAATACTATGGACAACAATAGATCAGAAATTAGAATTAGTTTCAAATACATTCAAATAAGTGACCAATTTAAATAAGTGATTTCAGAACCATCACGACCAACAAAAGCATTTATCACACACTTTATCCTCATTCATGTGCACCCTGAAAAACGTCTCAGGGGATCATCCATCCTAAAACTAGAAAGCATGTTTCACCGAGAAGCTTTAATTAACAAACTTCTTGAGATCTTCCTGGATTTTACACAAACAGAGTGACCTATCTCCTGAAATTGTGACATCATCACACAAGTTATGGTTTCCTGGCCCTTAACCAGGGCGCCCCAGTGACTCGGATGCCCAATGACCACCCACCATTGCACAATAGGATGTTTTTACTTGGACTGTAATTTGCTGGTCTGGTCTGGTCTGATCTGGTCTGGTCTGAACTAGGGATGTCAAAAAAACCCGACCCGCAATGACCCGCCCTGACCCGAGACATTTGGGGCGGGTCCGCCCCGCCCCGTCTTGCAAATGGGGCGGCCGCCCCGCCTATACAATGGGGCGGGTCTGGGTATTAGAATTGACCCGTGCCGCCCCGACCCGCCCCGCCCCGACCCGCTCAATATATAAATATACATACTTTTTCTTAAATTATACTACAAATATATTTCAACATACATATGTGTGTATACAATAAATAATAAATTATTTGATCTTATAATATATGAATATATATTAGAATGAGATGAACGACGGATTATCAATGTCTTCTTTATATATAGAATTTTAATACACATATTCAATTATTAATATAACTAATTAGATTATTCAAGTCTGAGTAATTTTTCCTTAATTTTTGAAAATTTTAACGTATCATGAATTTGATTTAATATATTGATTTTTAATTATTATTTAGAGATAAACTTTATGTAGATTCAATTGGTAACAACTTTCCACAAATGAAAATACATACTAGCTAATTAGGTTGCGGCGGGGCGGGGTGGACCCGCCCCGCATGGGGCGGGTCATGGGTCAACAAGTTTGGACCCGTGCAGGTCATGGGGCGGGGCGGACCCGCCCCGCGAAGTCACGGGGCGGGTCTGGGTCTTGCAATACCCGCCCCGCCCCGACCCATTGCCATCTGAACTGGTCTGGTCTGGTCTGGTCTGGTTTCTTTGTATTTTTATAACTATCCAAGTCTGGTCTGGTCTGGTCTGATCTGGTCTGGTCTGGGACAAATTACAGTCCAAGTAAAAACATCCTAACTCCACTACCCACCCGTATTACCTACCCAACCCTGCCCACCCCACCTTTGCCCTGCCCCCCTATCACACACCACCACGCCACCACGCCACCACGGCAGTGTATTATATAGAAACTATATATAGAAATTAAAGAGTCGCCAATTTATCTCTTCATCAAATAAAAAACGCGTACAAATGACATTTGCCTAATTAATATGCAAATTCTAAATATATAAAGCCTAGGGATGGGAGAGTAATGGATTAATGCCAATGAACTAGTTGCGCGTAAGGCGAAACCAGTTTGCACCATAATGAAGGTTGGTTACTAAAATATACTACGTATGAAATCTACCATATCATATAAGAACAATGACTTTGCATAATTGCGGGCATGCTAT